GTTGGTCAACAGCGGCACTCTGAGTCTCAGATGCAGAACTGCAAGAAATTTCTGGATCTAGGCTTTTAGAAAAAAATAACAAGGAAGCTCCTACATGCAATAATGCAATGTCTTTTAAAGTTCAGATTAGTTCTTGGTTGTTATGCAATAAATAAAAATGTTTTTGTTAGTTTTCTTACGACAATATTTGATTAACAGAGGAAAAATTGTACGATTTGTCTAAATATTTTCAATTATTTCGTCTTCAGTACTACAGCAATATTTCTCTTAGTTTGTTTTCAGACTTTTTAAAGATGTTATAATATTGCCAGCTGTTTTCAGTGAAAACTTCCAGAAATACATATGCAACTTCCTTAAATGAATATGGATGTTACTTTAAATTCCCTGTAAGTACCTTGCCCCCACAAGCCTTAGATTTTACATATAGTGATATAAATTTAAAGAGAATCTTCAGGTATTTCTTTCGATAAGGAGGCAAAAATCTGTTCTGATGCATTCACATACAAAAGGTTTGTTTCAACAGTGCAATTATCTAACTTTCTGTAACTTTAGTTCATTCTAAGCTTTTGCTTTCTTTATACCAGCTGTACACTCCAAATCTACCTGTCTAAACTCTTCCTTTATGATCTTTTTCATTTCTCTCTGTGTGTGTGCGTGTGTGTGTGTTCAGATCTTCAGTAAACTCTTTCTGTAGCTACACTGTTTTGATGTTCTAGACTGGTCTGCTTTCCTGCATTTTTCTTCACAGTGGAATTTTCAATTTTTTCCTTTAAGAACTTATCCTGTCTTGGATCCTTTTTCATCCCATACAATCCCATTTATCCTTGCTCTCACTATGGTGAGTTTTTAGTTTCCCTTAAAATCAAGAACATAAGCAATACATTGCCATTCCCTCAATGACGTACTTTGCCCACTTCCTCAGATATATATGAGTTAGAATCTTGATTCTTCCCCCTTTCTCTGAAGGTGAAATTTGTCAGCAAAACAAATCAGAAATTTTTGGAAGATCTGTACTTGACTGGACTTCCCAATAATTGGAATGATTTCCCATTTGTATGACCTCATGACTCTTTGAAAAACAAGAGTTTCTGACAATATTGATCAGTTTGTTCATTTTTATTTTTGAGCAGGAAGGAATATTTTTAACAAATAATGCAATTCCTCCCTGCTTTCTGTTGCTTTTTTTCCCTTTTAAACAAATTGCATCCTTCAGTTGCTATATTCCAGCCACTGGGTCTCTATTTTATGAATTAAATGATACTTGCCTTTCTATTTTAAGGATTCAGATTCAGTTTGTTTCCAAAATTCTGGGCATTAGTATCTAAAATGAGATTTTCATTTCATCTTCCCAAAATATATAGTTTAAGGCCTTCTAATGAAGTTGCCATGCTTTGTCCAAACACATTTTTGTTGATCCTTGTGAGGTATAACCTATTTTGTGCTAGCAGTCAGACCATTCAGACCATCTTTTGAGAATTCAGACCTTGTTTCCAGAAACCAAATCTCTCCTATTGACACCATTTGTATAATTCATCATTGACCTGAAGAACAGATTGGAAGATAACGGCTCTTGAATTCCCAGGTTTTTGAGCTTCCTTCTGAAAATTTCATTTTATGGTGAATAAGCTATAGCTGTTTTTTAGAGTATCTATTTGTATTTGCAAGAACAGAATTGTCAATGGGCTTGATGGCTCAGTCACATTCTTGTTCCTGACAAAGCACATGCTTCATGAACTGATGTTTCTGGTCACCACACATTTGTTTTAATTCCTTTGTGCCCCTTTTTTAGAACTGAAGATAAATATTTGAATAGTAGTTGCTCCAATATTTCTGAAAGCATAATTTATATCATTATTGATTCCTTCATCAAGATTACTGGATTTTATTGTACAGATTATGGATTCTTTTAGGATACCCTCAGTGACACTTATTTTACATAAAAGATTAAAAACCAGTAAACAGTTATTTAAATATAAAATAATTTAGAATAATACACCACCATATGGACAGATTGCTTTCCTTAATAGCTATTATTATAAATGGAGTCCCCTTTATTGTTCAAGACAGAACAATAGTTATGACACCTAGAAATTTTGCTTAACTTCCAGATAAAATAGTACATTTGGAATATATCATTGGGCAATTAACTGAATTATTTTGTGCATTATGACAATATTTAAAGAAGCCTGGATCCTGGTTTTACAGATACTTTGAATTCTCTTACTAAAAATGAGGTGCATTATCATCATTTAATCCAGCTTCAATTCCACAGGTTGCTATGGATAAAGCATACTTCTTGGGTCTCACTAGATGGTAGCATTTAAGAGAAGGGACATGGAACATGCCCACTTTATCAGTCCTGATGCAGCAGGCAGATAACCTCAAGTGGAGATGGCCCCACAAAAGAACATAGCCTTATGCCATGTTCTTTTAAAAGTCAGCACCTTGAACTGCACCCAGAAAGAAACTGGGAGCCAATGCAACACATAAATCAGCAGTGTAATATGAGCAAATAACAGGAAGCCCAACACCACACAGGCTACCACATTCTGTGCCAATTGTAATATCCTGGGGTCTTCAAGGACAGCACATATACAGCATGTTAACTAGTCCAACCAAGGAAGGGCCATGAGCAAGGCTTCCTTATTCTGGAATGGGTGCAATTGGTGCAGAAAATAAATCTTAACAAAGTTTGTCACATACTCCTCAAACAGAAAACATAAATTCAGGAGAACTCTCAAATTGTGTACCAACCCTGTTCATGCAAGCACAACCTTGTCAAAAGTCAAAAGTTCATCAGACCAGGGAAGCGGGATGGGTGGGGGGTGTAATTGTGAATCTCAGCTATTATTTTGGGCTAAATTCATACAGCAAGCCATAGTTGATAAATTAAGGTATCACCCAGGTTGAAAAGCTGAGAGTTATAATCCTATAATCCTTAACAATAAGGTGGCATTCATTCCTTAATTTTAATAATACATGCATCTCTTTATTAAAGTCTTTGTGGGCAATATTGCAGGTCAAAATAGAGCCTTTGATTACTCTGTATTTCTCAGAATGATAGGAAACATTGCATATAGTAAAGGAAGCTTCTTCCTTTAGCACTGCCATTTTACCACTGCTGTTGTTGTGGTTAGCCAGTAGCAGGTGCAGATGGCTGAGGAGAGCGAGGACTCAGATGAGGGGCCAGGACCATTAGGGAGTGGACTGCTGCCTTCAGAGATTGTGGGGGCTGGCAGCAGCGATGAGGAGGTTCCAAGGAGCCTGTGCCAAGTGCGCATGCGCACAGGATTGCTCACAGAAAGAATAGTTGAAACAGCACGGGTGACTAGGGAGTAAGTCTGCAAGGTAATGGCCTTTCCTTCAAGAAGATAAAAGCCAGCTGTGAAGTGAATGTTCTTTGCAGGAAGCAAAGTCATTTTGAAACTCAGCCTCGTGGACATTACAGTGTCTTAAGTTGGTATTTGAAGACGCTTGTGTTGTGAAATATTTCTTATCTGTGATTCTTGGCAGTCTCATACAGTTTTGGCGAGGTTTGTGCTTATCAAAGTTAATTAGTTTGCAGCAACCTTTTAACCAGGGATTCATAAGACTGATTAAAAGGTTTCTGTTTCCTTTAGTTATTGTTTGTTTTATTGGAAAAGGGTTTGGGTCAAAACAGCTGTGATGGCACAGTGGTTAGAATACAGTATTGCAGGCTAACTCTGCTGACTGCCAGCAGTTTGATCCTGGCCAGCTCAAGGTTGACTCAGCCTTCTATTCTTTCAAGGTCAATAAAATGAGGACCCAGATTGTTGGGGGAAATATGCTGACTCTGTAAACCGCTTAGACAGGACTGTAAAGCACTGTGAAATGGTATATAAGTCTAAGTACTATTGCTATTGCTGTTGCTTCTTTAATTGATGGACAAAAGAACTCTAAAAATGCTATAGTTAAAATACCAAACTTTGTTCATTTCTTCAAGAAATGTGAAAATGTCGCAAATAGGTCCAATATATTATCACAACTAATAAAACTCTGGTTTACTTCACTTTAGTCAGGAATTACTATATTGTGGTGGGATTTAAAATGAATTTTTAATCTATGTAAAATGTCTCAGAACAAAATTCCAAGTAAAGTTCCTTTTAGAGGGTTTTTTATTAGAAAAAGAGCAACTAACCAGTTTTTGTGTAAAGAAAATACATCTGCAGAAATGCTAGCAGAAAGCCCACATTTAGCTACAGTGGAATCTACACAGAAATCCTTTTTTATTCTTTCTTCTAAGATTAAGATCACATTGACTAACCTGAGTAAGAATCACATTTGTAGTTCAACCAGAGTATCTATATACAGATTAACATACAATGTGATGTGATACACAAATAATTTTGTGGTACCCTAATTCCTCAACAATTCTTCAGATCATCACTGAGAAGATATCCTATTATATATTCAGCCACATAAACTCACTGGATGACTTTGGACCAGTCTTCATCAGCCCGAACTTATAAAATGATAGTAGTGGTGAACCATAGGAGGAATGAGCATTATGAATAGAAAATCAATACACGAGGAAATTAGTCAGCCTTATCATATCACAAGAATAATGAAACAGAGGCAAATAAGTAGATCTATACGACAAACATATATTCTGCATTCATTTTGGAACAGTGTTCATATCAATAGTATGAACATTATACTAACAGACTCCAGGACAAAACTGAAGGTTCCTAGTAAAAACAAAATGTTAAAACATCCACTCAATAGAATAGAATAGAATAGAATAGAATAGAATAGAATAGAATAGAATAGAATAGAATAGAATAGAATAGAACAGAATAAGAAAAGAATTCTTTTTATTAGCCAAGTGTGATTGGACACACAAGGAATTTGTCAGAATAGATAAAATAGACCAATGGGAAATCACTGTTGAGATAAATAAGGGCTTATAGGATCAACAAAACACACTATAGCTTTGAAATATTAAACTCACCTTGACTAAGATTTGTTCATCATTCTTCAAATTTAAATCCCCACAGGCTAGGATAGAGTCACTCATCTCACAGGTCAGAGGTTGATTGGTTAGAGTATTTGAACAGTTTTCCTCATGAAAATTGCAGTGGCTTTTTCTAGAATCTCTAGTGAGTGAAATAGTGTGGCAGTAAGACTGAAGGAAGGCTCGGACTCCATCCATCCCAACAAATTGTGACACTGGGACTCCACTAAAATGTACACTTCCTGACTCTAACAATTTTGAATTCTTCCACCTGTACAGCCTGATGGTCAATAAGACAAGGAGGAATGTAAAAAACAAGCAGGAGACAAACACCACACCGATCACCAGATAAAATGTGAGGTCTGACTGAGGATCTACAGGAGTTGAGATGTTGCTCAGATCTGAGAGACTTTCAGGAATGCTGTCAGCCAGAACTACTGTGAGAGTGACGGAGGCAGAGAGAGGTGGTTGGCCGTTGTCCTTCACTAAAACCACCAGGATTTGCTTCAGGGCATCTTTCTCCAGAAAAAGCCGAGCAGTCCTGATCTCGCCCGTGTGGAGTCCCACAGTGAAGAGCCCTGGTTCTGTTGCTCTGATCAGCTGATAGGAGAGCCAGGAATTCTGGCCAGAATCTGCATCTACTGCCACTGCTTTAGTGACCAGGTAACCTGGCTCAGAAGAGCGAGGGGCCAGCTCTAGTCCAGTGGAGCCATCAGCGGGAGGAGAGGGGTACAGGATCTCTGGCACATTGTCATTCTGGTCCAAGATGAAGAGAGTCACTGAGACATTAGAGTTGAGAGATGGGGATCCACCATCCTGAGCCTTGACATGGAACTGAATCTCTTGAATCTCCTCATAGTCCAAGGAGCTTAGGGCATAGATGGTCCCTGTCTCAGAATTAATGGAGAGGTAGGAGGAGAGGGGTGAGTCCCGCATTGGGCTATCAATGATGGAGTAAGTTATTCTGGCATTTTCTTCCCAGTCTGGATCACTTGCTTTAAGCGAAAAGGCTGAGGCACCTTTTGGATTATTTTCTAGAAGGTAGGAGGTATATTTTGACTCTAGAAACAGTGGAGGGTTGTCATTTATGTCTAACACCTGGAGTGAAATAACCACAGACGTAGAGAGTGGTGGTGCCCCGTCATCCACCGCTGTAACAGTGATAGAGTAAGTTGGCAATAGTTCCCTGTCGAGGGCTTTGTCTGTTTCTAAACTGTAGAAACTCTCCATTGTTTTCTTGAGCCGAAAAGGGAGGTTGCTGGGGATTGAGCATTTAATCTCTCCGTTGTCTCCTGAATCTCTGTCTTGGGCATTTAAAATGGCAATGACAGTTCCAGCTGGAGAGTTCTCAGGAACCGAGTTGATCACAAAGGTGAGGGCTAACTCAGGTGCATTATCGTTTAAGTCTGTAACCAAAATCACAACCTTTGACCTATCACTCAGTCCTCCTCCATCTATGGCTTGCACTTCAAATTCATATCTTGATGATGTTTCAAAATCAAGGCTCCCCACAAGGATAATTTCCCCTGAAGTTGAATTTATAATAAATTGTTGGGAGCCTTTTTTTGTGATTTTTTGAAAAGAATATTTTAGTTCTCCATTGATTCCTTCATCCATATCAATAGCCGTCACTGCAGCTACTATGGATCCTTTAGGCATGTTTTCCTTAACATTTACTTCATACATTGGTTGGCTGAAAACTGGTACATTATCATTTGCATCTAGAACAAAGATGTGAATCTGCAGTGTGCCAGACCTGATAGGTTCACCCCCATCAAAAGCCGTTAGAATCAAATCATACACTGACTGTTCTTCCCTGTCCAATGATTTTTCCAACACCAGTTTAGTAGATTTGGCATCATTTTGGCTGCTTTGCACTTCCAAAGAAAAATGGTTACTGCCTGTGAGTTCATAATGTTGTATAGAATTTTCCCCCAGATCTGGATCTTGAGCTTCTGGTAGAAAGAACTGAGAACCAGGAATAGATGTTTCACTGATTTTCAGTTCCCACCTTATTGAAAGAAAGGAAGGAGCATTATCATTTATATCCACAATTTCTATTTCAGTGACATAAAGCTTTAACTTGCTTTCAGCAAGGATTTGAAATTTTAAGATGCATTTCTTTCCTGTTCCACAGATCTCTTCTCTATCTATTCTCTCACAGGTTTGTAAATGGCCACTGTTGGAATTAAGTTCAAAGTACTGAATTGTACCTGAATTAGAAATAATACGTAGTCCATGATTAAAAGGCTGCTTCCCATCTATTCCCAGATCCTTCACAACATTTCCCACAAAAGTACCTTTCCGTACTTCCTCTGGAATAGAATAATGGAGCTGACCAGAAATAATCTTCCAAGAATTCACCATTATAAGGCATTGTAGTAGAATTCCTTCTCTGTAGCTTCTTTTCTCCATTTACTTCCAGCAAGCAAGAATTGCCTGTGCTTGTATGTCTCTTCCTTATGATCTAGCTGTTCTGTAGTCTAGGTATTTGAGTAGCACAGATATGAAGGTTGAGCTTTCTGAGCAGTTATCTGCCAGACTGGTAAACAGCGACACCCAGGGTCACAATCCAAAAATTACAGCTACTTTTTGTAATGTTTCTTTGCTTATGTTAATGTTACTTTACCTGTAGTCACAAATCAGGCTGCTTGTCTCAATGAAAATTATGCTTTCCATCCTCCAAAGATGAAAAAGTAGAACAACGATAATAAAATAGAACATGGCTGCTGTTTGGTGACACATAAAAGCAGAAGTCTACCTAATATTAGAAGCTATCATACAATCTGCGTACGTGTTCTTTATTCTACGTTACAAATAATTGCAATTAGTCACAAATAATTAAGTTTTTCACTGAAAGCTACATCAAATCAAAAACAAAAAATCTTTAAAGACTTGACCCACATTTTTGAGTTAATAGAATATATTGCAAATGAGACTCTACTCCCACTTCCCCATTATCTGCAAATAGGAGAGTTGTAAAATATGCTGGTCATATCATGGTGACATGGGTGGATGAATTGCTCTTGAGTTTGTCTCTGGAATCTGTAGGCAAGAGAAAGCAGGGTGGAGAAATTGAAAAGGCAGTTCTGTGGCATAAATGCTTACTGAAGCACCAGCATATCCAACAGAGGTGAAGTGGTATTTAATACTTTTATTTCATAAAGTTTAACTTTTCCCCTTTAGAAGAATTGGTGGTAGATTATTTGTCTTGTAATTTTGCATGAGAGAAATGAATTAAATACATTTCTTCAAGTTACTAAGAACATTTTTCTTATAACAATTCTAATAGTGCTATATTCTGTAATATAATGGAGAAAATTTACTAGTTATCATGCTGTTTTACCATTTGTCTTTTGTTTTGCAGAAGTCAAGATAAAATGGAAATAAGAAATCAAAGCTATAATCTCAAATTAATAATCTCCATTCTAAGGCATTATTAAGCATTTTTCTAGGTTATATTTTTCCAGTCTGAGCAATCTACATCTGTTTACAAAATGAACACTGATGGATACTTATCAGATTTTTCTTTCTTTCTTAATTCTTCCTTAATTTTTTTCCTGAACTTCCAGGTCCTTCAACATTATAATTTATCTATCATTGTCTATCATTTTTCATAAGCCATGATACAAATTAACTTAAAACCCTTGAATTCTTTTTTTATGTGACTCTAGCACTCTGTATTACATTCAATGAAAACTATGTCCCCTCCTAATTTTCTTGCATGCTGGCAAATTCCATTCTATTCCATTCTATTGATGTGGCAAAAGATACAATCCATTTATGTATTTCACATGCTAATTGGTTGAAGACCAGGTAGTGATGTGGAACAGCTCTCCTGCTAATTTGCCTTTCAGTTACACTAATTCATTGAGCCCTTTTCTATTACTTATTGGATGTGTAATGATGACCTCATCACTATTTTAACATCAGTTATCTTGCTGTTTTACCATTTGTCTTTTGTTTTGCAGAAGTCAAGATAAAATGGAAATAAGAAATCAAAGCTATAATCTCAAACACAGTATGATCAAAGCATTGTATACAACTCATGAGCCTGTGTCCCACAAGGCAAAGTCAAGTGAGCAAAAAGCGTGACATGTGCTGACATGTGACAAATGAAATCTGCTGAAATAAGGTGGGAAAGTGGAGTTCTATTTACATGAGCATGTTAATACATGAGCTGAGCATAAATCAGTCCATTAATTAAGATGGGGGAGAACACTTTTCTCTACTCCTCAAAGTAAGTATTTATAATACTTACTTTTTGTTTGAGGTACAACTGTTTATGACCAGTCTTTTTTGAACTGAACTCAACTCCTGGTATCTCCATGAACGTATTCAGTTTTTTCAGCCTCAGAATGGAAGTGGTTTGCTATAGCTTTCTTCTGGGATGTTTCTCAATTCCCATACTAGAGGAAGCTCAATGTCAGGCTACAGAACTTTTCCCATTCACCCAACTAGAATGAACTTCTGAAAACATATCAAAATGTATCAAAAAGGAATACTTTATTGAGATGAGACAATGCCTGTAGGAGTTCAAAGCAGCGTCTGAGGTCTCTCAGGCATACAGGGATAGATAAGGGAGTTTAGAACCCCTCCCCTTATCTCGATGTGTATTTAGTGAAACAAAAGCCAGTATGTTAATTCCTCTGCACCCTTTTGTATGGAACAATCTTTTTCACAGTTTCCCAGGGCATACCTAATTTCCCCCACCCTCTTTTTAGAACGAACTTTTCAAGAGATTCCCAGGACACATCTCACTGTGGAATTTTTATGATCTTCTCATCTCCTGGCTGTGCCTCTCAGAGGTGATAGTTCTGGCCACCTGGCTTTTCTCGCTCCGTTGTATCATGTGTGGGTTATACAAATTCGATATAAGATTAAATATATTCAGGTTACATCAAGAAAGGATTTCTTTATCAGCCTCCCCCCACTTTTCTTCTTCCACTGAAGAAATGACAGATACACGGATCTGACACTCCATTAAGTATTGTCAGTAGTGGAAAATATAAGTAAATTAATAACATAAAAGTGAAAGAAAAGAAGGGTAAGAAAAAGAAAAAAGAATGTAGAGAAAGCACTTCATTGCCCCACTGAGGACAATACCATCTGTGGAGACATGTACACCCTTCACTCCACCATGCAATATTATAAATAGTAGTAAACATATTAATTGATATATGGCACAATCAGTAGCATAATGCATTCCTTAAGGCAATTTGATTATCTAGTTCATGGGTGTCAAACTTGCCATATCATGTTGCTGACACATGACATATCGCAACAATTTTTCTCTTTGCGGAACTGGAGTGGGTATGGCCTGAGTGTGGAACATCTGGTCTGTGGGCTGCCAGTTTGACACCCCTGATTTAGTTGAAATACTTGCAGGAAAATTACACTCATGTTCAAATAAACCACTAGTCTATTAATGATTATAGCAGTGAAAAAGTTGCTAAGTCACCACCTAGAGAGATTAGTTCTCTATTTCTTCCGACTGAATAGGAAATTGGCAAAAATTTCTCCAGCCAAGTATGAAGAATGTCAAGGGGGAAACAATCTGTAGTATTCAGTCAAATATACCATACATGAATCCTCTCAGCATTTCCAAAGTCAATATAGGAGCTCAAAAACACATTTAAATAAAAGGTGATTTTTTTTGTCTTTCTTAAAATCCTCTAACTTATCTGCAAATTTCATTTCTTTCTACTAAAAAACTTATATTTACAATTTCCTTAATTAGTCAACAAGTGAATGAAATTCCATTTAGCAATTGTAAGGACCAGTCTCTCCCCTCTTCAAAAATAAGTATGAACTCTTGAAAAGCTTGTATTTCAAAAGGAATATTTTATTGAAGAGGGAAAAAGCATGTCAACATTCAAAGCAGGGTCTGATATCCCTCAGAATATGCAACTCAGATAAAGAGAATTAGAACCCCTCTCTGTAGTTTGATGTGGATGCCACCAATCCACAGGTGTGAACATGTTATTTTCCCCTTGTCTCTGAGAAAGCAACTAAGGAAAGGTTCCCAGAAGTTTTCTTCTGGTGTTAGAATCTATATGGCCCCTTCTCCTCTTACAATTTTTCCAACAGGTAAGAATTTTCCAGGCATCTGGGGCACCAGGCAATGGTTATAAATCATGTAAAAGGTTATACATATTCAATGCAAGAATTAAGATATTTAGGTTACATTGAGTGGAAAAAAATTAACTGTATTAAAACCACCACCCCTTTTCTTCCACCGAAGAATGGCAGATACATGGATCTGACATATTGCCCTCCTCAAAAAAATGAGAAGTCCACCTGGAAGACATAAAATATGTGTTACATTAAGACTGGTTACATTAAAATGGTTTGTGAGAGTATTTCAGGTGGAATTTCTGTAACAATGTGGGGGCTTTTACATGTTCATTGGCTACCTATTCATTTTGGTAGGAGGGTAGGTGTTTCCATGCTACTAAATATTGTGTGGAGCCATGGTGAGCGCATGAGTCCAGAATATCTTTAATTTCAAAATGTTGTTCCCCTTTCACCATGATGGGGGTTGGAGCTGTGTGAAGAGGGGGTCTGGTCTGATCATTGAAGTGATTTCTGGTTTGAGTAGGCTGTAGTGAAATACTGGATGAACCTGTTTAAGTGTATTAGGGAGTAGGAGTTGTACAGTGACAGGGTTTATGATTCTGGTGATGGAAAATGGGCCAATGAATTTTGGTCCCAGTTTCTTAGAAGGTTGTAATGATTGTAGGAACTTTGTAAATAAGTATACGTAGTCTCCAATCTTGAACAGTTTGGGTTCAGTGCGTTTTTTGTCAGCTTGAGCTTTAAAAGCAGTTCTAGCCTCTTGTAGGGCTAGTCTGACCACTGGTCAAGTGGTTTGTAAATTGCTTATCTACTCTTTAAGGGAGGTGATGTCAGGTCCTTGGTGGGTAGCTCTGGCATTGGGTTGAATTCTTGTCCTGTGGCTACCTGGAATGGGGTGAAACCAGTGCTACTGTGTACCTAGTTATTGTAAGCTACCTCTGCAAAAGGTAAAAGGTCAGTCCAATTGTCGTGTTGGTAATTAATAAAGCATCTTAAATATTGTTCTAATTTGCCATTGGATCTCTCTGTCCTGCAATTGGTCTGGGGGTGATGCGAAGAGCTCAAGCCCTGGGCAGAGCCTAATAGGTTTAAAAATGCCCGCCAAAATTTTGAAGTGAATTGTACACCCCTGTTTGAGATAATGTGTTGGGGAGCTCCATGGAGGTGATAAATGTGTACTAAAAACATTTTTGCTAATGCCTTGGCTGTTGGGATCTTCTGGCAGGGTATAAAGTGGACTTGTTTTGAAAAAAGGTCCGTTACAACCCAAATGACTGTTTCCTGCGCTTTCAGGCAGCTCCAATATAAAATCCATAGAAATATCTCTCCGGGGTGCT